TGGACAGCAACTTTTTAACTTAATTTGGTAGAAGTAAAGGAGTCTGTGCTTTCCTTTTCTTTTTTTTTTTTTTTTTTTTTTTTTTTTTTTTTTAATTTTTTTTTCAACGTTTATTTATTTTTGGGACAGGGAGAGACAGAGCATGAATGGGGGAGGGTCAGAGAGAGAGGGAGACAGAGAGTCGGAAACAGGCTCCAGGCTCTGAGCCATCAGCCCAGAGCCTGACGCAGGGCTCGAACTCACGGACCGCAAGATCGTGACCTGGCTGAAGTCGGACGCTTAACCGACTGCGCCACCCAGGCGCCCCAGTGTGCTTTCCTTTTCTAAAAGTAGTTCATGATAGATGTGTGGGAAAAATGAAATAGGTACAGAAAGGGAATAAAGAAACTTTTAAAGGGACATGAACATTTGGATTTGGCCAGGTACCTGTGAAGATAGTAGGCAGGTCCTTCCTCTGAGGGCCTTGCAGAAAGCATGGTGAGGGGAGGTACGTGGACAGAAAGGATCTGTGTGATTTCGGGGGAGAAATGGTAGCAGGAAGGGCCATAGTGCACATGGAGGGGAGCAAGGCTGGCTACTGCTGACAATGGCCCTCCCACACCACACCCCCCGTCCCCTGATCTTCATCTCACCAAATACTCTTAGGGTCTGATAGGCTTTCTTTTCTTGTTACAGTTACTTAATGTTTAAAATCTTACTCTAGAAAAAAAAAATAATACAAACTCCAAATATTTTAAGAGTATGATGAGCCTGTATACAGATGGTATATGTTTTTAATCTGTTCAAAGTACTTCATATTTATTGGGTTAGTTAAGCTTTTGTCAGACTAGGAACACTCAATATGGGGAAGAAAAGAGCAAATGAATTTTGTAGAAGCTAAGATGAGAGGACTATGAAGAGATAAATACAATTAAGAAAGGGAGACAGTGACTCAGCCACTCAGTGACTCAGTCTTGATTTCGGCTCAGGTCACGATCTCACAGTTCATGGGTTCGAATCCCACATCGGGCTCTGTGCTGAGAGTGTGGAGGCTCCTTGGGATTCTCTCTCTATGCCCCTCTCCTCTCTCTCTCTTTCAAAAATAAATAAATAAATGTAAAAAAAAGCGAGGGGGCAAAAATATCAGGTGGCAGCATCAAATACTTTGTATTTTCAAATCATCAGTATGTTTTAAAGAAATATTTAATTTTCCCTCTTATCCCAGACATCATTTTACTTTAGAACTGTAACAATAATTTTTAAATGCTGCTGATAGTCTGGTTTAGCACATGACTGATTTCTATGTTGGTATGATTTTTAGAATTTCAACATTCTTTACTGATCTGGATTTGAATTTCTTTAACCATTTTTAAATGTCCAAGTCAATGAAATACTGTGTTACTGAAATACTGTAAAGAAAAGGGGATTAATCAAGTGAGTTCATTTATGTAACAGCATTATGATATATTACTGAGAAATAGACCCCATGTGACTTTCATGAAAGAACACAGGACTTAAAGGCATGGACAATGCAGAGTTGTGTCATTTTGTATCCGTGTGGCCTTTAACCAATTTCTCAACCAGTTTCCTCCTCCACAAATGGGAAAAATAATTCGAGTTTTGTATATATTTCAATATTATTTAAGAATAAAATAAGAATGATTATTCATTTTGAAATTTATGAAGTCCTACTCAGATGTAAATAAACATTGTACACACAAATAAAAATAAATAGTATCTTAATTATAATTTTATCATATATAACCTCTTAAGCCATGAAGCTTTGAGATGTTGATGTCTAGGACATCAAATTTTTTTATCACTTTTCTTCAACTATTGATACCATACTAAAGACATTATAACAAAAAAATGGAAGGTCATCCTTTATTTTTGAAAGATTGGTATAGGTGTGAAATTGATCTTCATTGTTTGAAGAGTTCACTTAGCAGGTACTTCAAAGTTCATCCAAGACTATATGGGAACATTGAAATTACAGGGTCTTATTATTTTTAGAGACTAAAATCCTTTTAAGAATCTAATGAAAGGTTAGTACCCTCTGCCAGAAAAATATTCCTATCATGTACAGACAGAATTTTGCAAGGAATTCCAAAGGAGTTCCTATCCATGGATCCTAATAAAAACCACCTTGCACCTCCACCTGTTCTATATTCTATCTAGAGTCTGTCTCTTAAACAATCTTGATTCCTGTGTTCACCCTACCCCATCATTGCTATTCTCCAGCATTCTTCATCAGTGCTCACTCCCAGTGGAGGCAGTAAGAGAGGGAAGGGCTATGAACCAAGCTAACACATACAAGAAGCCAGAGGCTTTGGACAGAAATGGCAGTTGCAAGTACCTTCAATGAGGCTAGAATAGAGGTAAATTAATCCAAGGAACTAAACTGTTAAGATTTTCACCAATTTACTATTCTACTACTCCTACTAAACAGTCGAATATTTGAAATTCTTTGTACTGGGTTCATTTGTAGCCCGCTCTTCTTTGAGATCCTCTAGAATTTGACCACTCTTCACCTCTAGTAATATAATGTGAAAGTGATTTTTATACTGTAAAGGACTAAAACTGTATAAGAGATATCATGCTCGATTCTGTGAAGAAAAGTTACACAGCGTCACATCCATTGTGTGAAATGTCAGCCAGATGGAAAAACAGACCAAAGGTTTTTTTCTCTGATAGTCCATCTAACAACTGTATATTTTTCCAAGTTTGGAATTTTAATTACCACAATTCCTGCTTTTCCACTAAATCCTCAGCCTGTTTGACTCTTAATTTTATGTCGTTTCACAAATGGCTTTCCATATTCTGTGTCTTCAGATAACGCCACCTTACAGAAGTCAGCATTTGTTAACAACAACCACAACAAAATCCAGGGCAAATATTTTAAAATGCAGACATATTCTTAGAATACCAGAAGAGCATGCTCTTGTTTTGTAACTTTAGCAACAATCGCTCTAGATCTCTAAAAGTGTTAACTGTTTAGAAAATGAGAGTAAGGACATGTAGCTTCTTCATGAGCCAGGTGGATTCACTGTTGTGGAATTTTGAGTTCTATTATCTGATGTCAGTTTAAATTTTTATATTCTAGTGCCAGCATGATCCATGACAATCTATTCTTTAAGGTAGTTTTATTTTTTTATTATATTTTAATTTGAGTGTCATTGATACACAATGTTACATTAGTTTCAGGTGTACAACTTAGCAGTTTGACAAGTTTATACATCATGCTATGCTCACCACAAGTATAGCTACCATCTGTCCCATTACATTGCTATTATAATGTCATTGACCGTGTTCCTTATGCTGTGCTTTTTATTCCCATAACTTACCCATTCCATAACTGGAGACCTATCGCTCCCTTTCCCCTTCACCCATTTTGCCCAACCCCCTGCCTCATCCGCTTGGTTTATTCCCTATATTTATAGTTCTTATTCTGCTTTTTAGGTTTTTTGTTTTGTTTTGTTTTTTAGATTCTATTTATGAGTGGAGTCATACGGTATTTGTCTTTCTCAGTCTGACTTATTTCACTTAGCATAATACCCTCTAGGTCCATCCATGTTGTCTCAAATGGCACAATCTCGTTCTTTTTTATGAATGACAGTCTATTTTTAAAATAAAATCTATAAGGTAGCAAACTACTTAATAATGAATGTGAAGTACTGAATTAGAGTATTATTTTATGCTTTTAAAAATATGATTGATATTGCAAGATGAATTTTTGCAGTTACATTATGATGTTGATAAGCAACATTGATTTTAAGATTTCCACATTATATAAGCAGAAAACAAAAGGCCTAAAGATTTAAGGTGTGGAAATTCTGCTGAAGCAGCATTAACAGTGAATTCGATTCCCATTAGGTAGTGTTCAGTGAGAGGGGATGTGCGTATGTAGGGTTTGAAGACATTTAAAACAGAGAGAGACATTTTTCATTCAGAATGCCAACAGGCATCATTTGGTATCAGAAGCCTGGCTTTTCAACGTTCACTGTATGAGCTTTCATCACCACTCAGAAGTCTCACTGTTTTAAAATGCAGTTATATACTTTTGAGAGACAATTCATAGAAATTAATAGCAAATGATTAAGAAATTGCTCTTTTTTAGAGGGAGAAAAGACATTTGATGCCAAGAAACAGTGAGGGCATGGCTATGAAATTTAGGGCTACTGCTTCCTGATTTAAGTGTAATTTTTTATTAAGCTTTCTTATACTTGTGTCAATCAGAGTCCCTAGTCTTAGTAGATTAAAACCTCTCATGATTCTTTTGATGTGGAGCTATTATTTTTCACTTTCTTTATCTTGCAGACGACTGATGAATTCTTCAGTTTTCTTTAAGCCAAATGGCTCTTTTTTAAGTTTCAGAACCATTTAATTTTATAGAAATAGCATTCTAAAGAAAAAAGTTAGAGTGTAATACTGTAGCGTGTCAACGTGAAGAAATACATTAGAAAGCCAAATGATATTGATAGGCTTTGAAGAGAAAGATCTTTGTGGGCATTTAAAACACCAAGGAATTACAAGACTCTGTTGAAGAGCAGGCTAGTTAAATTGGAGAAGTCAAAGCAAGACATCTTTCATTACTGACATGCCATCTACTGAAAATAAGTAGAAGTTAGTCCTAAGTAGCTAGCAGTGAGCCCCGGGTGCTAACTTCCCTGAAGCACTGAAATAGGAAGTGGTGGAAGAAAGTTGTAAAAGAAACCCTCAGGGATTCCTCCTTTTTCCCCCTGTGATCCCTTTAATCCTTGAATTGTCAAACCGCATGGAAAATAATAGAGCTGCGTAGTTCTAAGACTTAAGTGGTATTATCTTTTTAAAAGAAAATATTAGGTCTTTTCACATCTCTGGACAAGAACAGGGCATGCGTTTGGTACAGAAAAGAGTAACTTTGAACAAGAGATGCCTGTTACTTTTTCAGTTTTAATATATTATTATCTATGAGTAAGCAGGCTGCACCCAGTAGGGAAAAAAATTATAGCCAATATTTTATTTTCCTTTTTTTGAAACAGATGATTCAACGAGAAGCAGATGTAAAAAGTAAGGTAACTGCTGTGGCGTTGACAGACTCTGTTCACAATGTGTGGCATCAAGAAGCAGGCAAAACGATTCGAGAATGGATGAGAGAGGTGAGACGAGATTTTTTTTCAATGCTGAGATGAATGAGTGAGAGCCTTTATATCTTGAGCCCCCACCAACTTATATCACCTCCCGCCCCAAACTCCCTTTCTAGAGGCGGAACATTTAGAGAGAATATAAAAAAGTAGGCACGCTTGAAATAATAATAGAAAACCCTTCTGAAGAACAAATGTGTTTCTGAAAGCCCTTCTCCCTTTTTTTTGGCTTTCTGTAGCATGTTATGTATGCATATAGTATACAGTAGGAACTTGGGCTAAAGAAGGTCATGATCTGTTAGGAGGTTATTATTCTCTGATTTTTTAATTTTCCCACCAGCTATTTAGCATTGGTGCAGCTCAGTTACAGGAAAGTAGCTTAATGTACATTGGGTCTCACCCTTTTCTTGAAAGGTGGTCAGTATGTGACACTTCTTAATGGATTGGCTCACTACTGCCAGTAGGGGGAGAAGTAAAAAGCTGATAGCGTTTTGCCAGATGGACCCTTGGGCCTGGAGAAACCTAAGGGCTGGTCATGGTCCAAGCTCAGGATAAGAAAACTTCTTTTACCATTCCTGAGGGCTAGTGAGCCTGAAAACTATCATGATTCGTTTAACATGCTCCTTTTTTTTTTTTTTTTTTAACTTTCAACCTATTATTTCTTTTATTTTGGTTATAGATGTACAGCTGAAACTTCTTTTTTATTTATACTTATCTTTCTGATATTACAAGCAATTGACATCATCTATACCATGCTATATCACTTGTCCAGTCAAATCATATATTTCTTTAAATGAGAACTAGTTGACCTTCCTGATTTTCTCCCACTTGTTCTTAATAGAAAACCCAGACATTTATTCAGCAGACCTCTTACCATGGGTATGGTGGGCAACTTCTACCAGCCCTTATGGTATGCTGTAAGGACTTGGAGAGTTAATGTTCGGAAAGAGTCTTGAATATATAGAAGGACTAAGCTGTATAATCCCATAGTGGTATAATCATAATATTACCAGTGTGTTTTCACTGTTGTTGTTATTCTTTCCATTAGAAAAAGGTTAGAGAGGGAGGGAGCCAAACCATAAGAGACTCTTAAAAAACTGAGAACAAGCTGAGGGTTGATGGGGGGTGGGAGGGAGGGGAGGCTGTGTGATAGGCATTGAGGAGGGTACCTGTTGGGATGAGCGCTGGGTGTTGTATGGAAACCAATTTGACAATAAATTTCAGATTTAAAAAAAAGAGAGAAGAAAAAGTACCTTCATGATGCAAAAATCTAAACTATTTTTACTCCATTCCTCATAATGTTATAAATATATAAAGGTGGACTTTTCATCTGTTCTAACATCCAGGTGATTTCTAACCACATTGCTTTTCATATTTCTCCTTTCACAATTTATCCACATCCTTAATTATCTTCTCCAAGGGCCTAATTTTTTTTCAAGAGAAATTTTGTGTATTTCATGCCTATACTTTTTTTTTGTCCGAGTGGGTGTGAAAACATCTCCCAGCATTATGTAAGTAGTAAGATTAATAAGCGTACCTTTTCCCCCACACATAACCACTATGGAACTTAGTACTTGTCCCAAACTAGAAACATCCCTGTTCATCATTTCTTAATTGGAACTTCTTCATATCTCATTCCAGGTGACGAACATAACAAAATTTATTTTGATTTATTATGATTTACCATAAGTTGTTATTCAAATTCCATTTAGTTAATGTACATTGTAATATTAGTTTCAGATGTACAATGTCGTGATTCAGCACTTCCATACAGCACTCAGTTCTCATCTGAGTGCACTCCTTAATCCCCATCACCTATATCACCCATCCCCGCCCCCACTCCTGCCTACCTGCCCTTTGGTAACCAGCAGCTGCTTCTCTATAGTAGATTTATTTCTTCAACTGTTTGTAACGAAGACTGGAGTAGGTGCTGCCTTCAAAAATCAGAATATATTAATCTATGCCTTTTTTCATCTGACTGAAATAGGCAATAGTTGAATTCATCTTAATTTAATCAGCACTGGCATTAATTTCTTTGTAAGCATAGCTTTTATTAAAAATTTTAATATTATATAATTTTATAAATGACCTATTCCTGAATAGTTCTTTTAATTCCCTCATTTATGCCTTAAGCATGAAATTGCATGAAGAGTTTTTTATTATGACATACCGAAATTCAGACTCTAACTCAGTCACTTACCTAAGAGTGTGATCTTGGCTAAGTTATTTAATCTCTTTGAGATTCAGTTTTTCATCTCTGAAATATGATACCTGCCTTGCAAGTACAGTTGGAAAATAGCATACATAAAAAAAATGCATGGACATTGGCATTTTAAAGAAGTTCAATAAATCATAGTTCTTACTGTTGTTACCTTCTTGCCCGCAAGTAATATAAAATACATGAGTTGTATTCTTTTGTTTTATGAATGATTTGCATATTCAAAATATCTTGCCATAGGGTAGTAATTCAGTGCAAGGAGTTAGAAGAACTGAGTTTTGATAATGATCTGGCTTAGTCACTCACTAGCTAAATCACTAACTGAGATCTGGCATATACCAGGTACTCTACTGAAGGCTTATTGTCTTGGGAAAGCCACCTCATCATTCTGGGCCTGTTTCAGATATAGTAATTCCTATCCCATCTACTTTGTGAACTACTTTGTGAAAAAAAGTAGTGTTCTAGAAAACACTGTAATATCCCAGAGATGAAAATTATTAGATCTCTGTTGTGGAGCTTTGAAATTATCCCTGCTCAGAGTGCCTCTCTAAAACAAGAATAAAAAAGGAGACTTTGGAAGCCTTTGCCAGATATCCTTGTAGGAACCCACCTAAATGTGTGACCCCCTCAGGGAGAATTCAGTATGGTTTGGCATAATAAGAATCTGGTGTTTCTCAGCACTCAGGATAAAACTCTGTCGCTTTTTCTTTCTCTTTTTTTAGTCTCTGTCCACTCTGCAAGACTCCTTGAAATAATGAAGAAAAAACAACCCTGGGTTCAGTGAATAGAAAAGAGCTGTTGTCTTGAGCACAGGTGTTGAGAGAAGGGTGTGGTAGGGTAACGTCTGTGTCCCTCAGCACCTCCTCCTCTGGCTTCAGTTGCAATCGGCTCAAAATCTTAAGATATTTTGCAAATATGCCTCCCAAGAAAAACAACTTCACTTAACTGGAATGTTGTCCATAAAAATAGTAGTCTGGTTATAGATGAAGCCTCATTGCTTTTGGCCTCTTAATGATTAACTCCCTTATTTCACCAAACACCACTTTAAAAACATTAGAAGTGTCTCCTGGTACAAACTGCCTGGTCATTCTTCTTATACTACAAATTGATAAAACTGCTTTTTGTTTTGTAAGCATATTTAAATTAATGTAAAGATATTGATTTTAACTATTCACTTAGTATAAAAAGCTGATTTACTTTTTTTTCAATTTTAGCAATTAGCACACAGAAAGAAAGTTAAGTACTATATTCTTGTATTACTTATATAATTTTAAAATAACAATTTGAGGGCTACTTTTGACAATCACTCTGAGTGAGAACTACTCCCAACCAAAAGACCAAGAATCCATACTTACCCATGACTCATGAGGAGAGGTAAAAAGTAGCCTGAGGCAGCTCCTAAAAGACACTTCGTATCTCAAGCTCCAGGACTGTCAAGTGGGTGAGACCTGCAGGATATTATGCTAGATGAAATAATTAAAAAAAGAAAAAAAAAAACAGACAATTAAAAATACTACATGATCACACTTACATGTGGAATCTAAAAAGGTTGATTACATAGAAACAGAACAGTGGTTACCAGTGGCAGGGAGGTGAGATAAATGGTCAAAGGGTACAAAGTTGCATTTATGAAGGGTACATAAGTCTAGAGGCCCAATGTACAGCATGATGTGCAAATATATCTCCAGATACTTTGCACAGGATACTTAGTACCTATTCAATACTGTATTGAATACTAGAAATTTGCCAAGAGAATAGATTTCTGGTTCTTTCACACAACACACACACACACACACACACACACACACACACACACACACAAATGGTAACTATGTGAGAAAATTAATTAGCCTGACTGTAGTAACCATTCCACAATGTATGCCTGTTTCAAATCATCACCATCACATTGTACACCTTAAATACATACTTTTAATTTTTTTTTAAAAAAAGCTGAGTGGGCAAATGTCATTTCCTGACATATTCTTGACCTCTGAAAATCTCCAGCCAAGCCAGATGTATGGTTCTACATAACTGTCATGAACCCTTACCCAGCACCATCAGATCTAAGTGGCAGTCCTTGGAAATACAATCTGCTGAATTGTAGTTGTTCTTGTCTGAGGACACAATGCCTTCCATTTTAAAGCTCTACCTCTAAGGCATTGGTGGATCTCAGGTAAATAAAATAAAAATGAGGAAGTACCTAAATTCAACCAGGTCAGCAAATATATCTCCAGATACCTTGCACAGGATACTTAATACATATTTTTCTCTTTAAATATAATAGACTAAGTTCTAATCTTCTTATTAAAAATTTTAATTCATTTCATATCTACACTGAAATATTGTTCCCAACATTTTGGATTTCATAAAGAAGACAGTTTATAACCACAAAAAAACTGTGAGTTCATTATTTCAGAGTAAAAGACCTTTGAATTGAGAACACTTAACTCTAAGAAATACTCTCTGTATTGCCAATTTTTTTTCCCCTCAAACCCAGAGAAACTTTAGTTACATTGTGCATCCCAAACTCTTGGCTCTGGCCAGGGGCTTCCTTCTCTCTGGTTGGGATGAGACAGGGCTACATCAGAGGCCCAAACATGTTTCACTTGCTATCTATAGTAAAGCATGCCTGGCTGCTCCTTAGAATAGGATCTCCAGGGGCTTAGGACACACTCCAGCATGTTCTGAATTTAGGTAGGACTTTCCTACTCAGCTGCCTCTGTTGCCGTCCAGGACACTACACTAGTGTCCATCTCAGCTGAAGAACTGGGGTGAGGGCAAAGTGAGGGTGAAGCGAGAAGAGGAATAGAATGAGCATTAGGAAAACAATGAAAGAAATTTGGTTTTTAACTCTAGTTTTTAAACTATAGAAATGCATCTCAGAATAGGAAGTTGGGGAAAAAAAAAGAATAGGAAGTTGGATTTGATATGATGGAATTTCAGACAGATTGAATTCATGTGAATTCAGGTGTAATGGCTGTGTGTTTCTCATATTTATTTCCATGTATTTCGCATACGTTTACATTAATAATAATATTATTATTATCACTTTATTTATTTATTTTGTAATGCTCTGTCACATGGCAAACATATTTTTTGATTGTTTTACCCTTTTCTCTACATATTTTTCCCGGTGGGATAAAAATGTTACACGAACGTGCACACACATGTCCATGTACGCTTATCAAACTTCTTTCAAGCCTTAACTGTCCTTCACAGGTACTTTGTCATTCCAGAGAACTTTTGGACATACTCACTTTATAGGATGTTTATTTTCTAACCTATTTTTATGAGAGATCAAAGACTAAACATGGATCTAGATAAAAACTGAAATTTCAGAATCATAAATATTAACCTATCTTTTGTTTTAAATGTTTGATTTAAAGGTGACCTGGGTAAAATCCATTTTATTCAGCTTTTTAAAGTCAGTGATAATGAGTTAGAAAATGATTAATCGCCTACATATTGTAATGTACCATCATTTTCATTAATACTAGAAATATCCTATAAGACGTAGTTTTACATATGTGAAGTGTAGGTGAGCAGTATTAAGACTGACATATCACCTGGGTAATAGCTGACTTTCATCAGATGTGGAGATACTACGAGGATGAATAATAATTAAAATATATACCTAATCGCTGCCTGTCTGTAGGTAGTGCTAATTGCTGTCATTGAAAAGACTGAATTGTTTAAGAAAAAGAGAGAAAAAGGGAAAGTCATTCTTCATTGAAGCTATCTCCCTGTATCATTGGGAGCCTATTTTTAGTACCTATAGAAGTCATGATTTTTGAATTTATTAGGGGCTGTGATGAATGATAAAACGAATCATCCATTTACATATCTTGACACTGCTTTGGAGAATACTTATTTCTTACAAGCAAGTGTCACATTGTATATAAAAGCTGGCTAATTGTGTGCTAATCTTCTGCATTATCTAGAACTCTGTGATGTGGTATTCTATCAATAGTAATATTAATTTTACTTATTTCAGATGTATCAAATATCTTCTAAAACCCTACTTCTTTTATAATTTCTGCTTTCTCACATTGTATAATTTTGCATTCATCTGCTAATTAAGATTAGGAGTGCTAGTTATAGAATACATATTCACTTTAAACCATCCAGCTTTTGTAATACATAAAATACTAATATTTTATCCATTTTAAATATAAAAAGAGAGAAAGCATTTAAGAACATTACTAGATGTTGTGTTTGTTTTCATGTTTTTTTTTTTCCACACAGTTCAATAGTTTCATTGATCCACTGTTTCTTACAAAAATCTGCCATGCTTTGTGAACTTCACTTTCTAATCTCATACAGCAACCCTTCCTTTATGTTATTCCTGCTCTCCCTGGTCCCAGAACAGTAGGGTTGCCTTGACAAATCTATTCAAAAGCCATTCCTCGGCCTTTATTGGTGGGGACTGGGGCCTTTGAAATTCTCTCCTCACTGCAACACAGCTGACATCTTCTTCCAGACAGAATGAATTAAGGAAATACAATAAGACACTTGATCTACCAGTCAAGGATCTTTCCACAGTGAGGACGGATTCCATGGTGCACAACCAGGGCAGCAAGCATCTAAAAATATACAATACATGCTTGTTTACCAGAATAGCAATCAGCAATTTTTCCAACATGATTGATAGGATGATTTCTTTTAAAATAAAATCTGTCTGGAAATTCAGTGTGTGTGTGTGTGTGTGTGTGTGTGTGTGTGTGTGTGTGTGTGTGTTAGAAATTTTTTAAAAGCCATATGAGGCTAATCACATTTTTTTAAGCCAGACCTTAAATACAGAATCAAAATGTATAGAAGGAATATACATTGTTTTTATTTCATTTGTCTGAATGGTAAGTCATCATTATCTTAAAGATTGGCTTTAATATTGAAGGCTTTGTGTCCTCAACCACACAGCTTCAATTCACTAGGTTGTATTTCTTTTGAACTATTTGATACAGCCTTCATTGAACCCAGGTTGAAGTAAAAAATTACAGTATATTTATATAAGCCAAATTTTAAGGAGTAAATGCAAATTTTATTTCTTGTAGTATTACAGAGACAAAGCTATAGTTCAAAAATGAAGCTATTCTTTCATATGATCAAGTTAATATTTATTTCCATCTAAAAGTTAAAAATGGACATCCTTTTCAGTTTTCCTTAATTATAATCTTAGCCTTTTGTTATAAATGTATTCCATCATCATTCACAGAAGCTTACATGTCTTCTTATCAGAACAGATAATTTGCTGAATTGTAGAAGATAAACTTTTTTCCACAGCCACATTGGTCATGAATAATACTGACTGTTTATATAAGAATTTTTTTTTACAGTGCATGGAAAAGAAATTGGATATACTTCTAGTGGTTGATTATATAGGATAAATTTATCTCTGCAGCCAGAAAAGTTGGTCTTGGTTTAAAAAATGTTTCAACGGAAAATTGTCTCTATTGCATTGCAGAATTGTTGTAATTGGGTCTCTAGCTCAGAACCATTAGACACATCAGTGGAGTCCATGCTGCCCGATTGTCCTCGAGTCTCAGCAGGTATGTGTTTGATGAGAAATGTGTGGGGTTTTTTTTAGGGTGAGAAATATGCTAATGAAATGTGGAATTCTATTTTGCGAATTAAGCATGTTGTTCTGCCTCGTATCTTTGAATGAATTATTGGTAACATACGGCATGGGTCTGATCTACTACCAGAAATTTGTTAAGTGGCTGAAAATGCTTACTAACAAACCTAGTAAAGATGAATAGGTGAAGCAATTTGCAAGTAATATAGACAGTTGCCGCTGAAGCTTAGGGAGACAGGATGTACATAAATAAAAAGTTGATTAAGACAGGGACTGGTAGCTAATCAGGATCTCAGAATATTTGCCTTGGATTGAGTACCAAGTCAGTGATAGAACAGGCAGTCAAGGCTGTGAGTTCAGAGAAGAGAGATTGCTGTGACCTTTAGAAAAATTTTTCATGCAGAATATTTTGGCTGGACCTCGTGTAATAGGTAGGATGTGGATTATAGAAAGACATCAGGATGATATTCTAGGCAAAGAGAACAGAGCAGTGTAAAGAATAAGGGCTGGAATGGATCTGAAAATGTTCACAGGCAACAAAGGCAACATGGGCCTGCCTACTGGAAGAGGTAGAGGGTGAGGTACCTCAGGAAGCAGGTGAGCTTAGGAAGACAATTTAAGGATGGAATTGATCTCCAGCCAACAGAGTTTGTACGTTAGTCTCTAATGTCTAGATAAGAGGAGTGATGATATTTTTTGTTGCTTTCTGGTTTTGGCTTTCACAATTCCCAACCAGTTTGGATGGTAAACACAAAATGAGCAGTGGTATCTGGTTATGGCTGCAGAACAAAAATGGGCTTGCTTTGGCCAGAGATGTCAGAGAACAAGCAGAAGTTTTGAACACAAATTATTCCATAGGACAGTCATAGTGAACAGTTAATCACTAAGCACTTAGAGTTGCAGACATGTGTATATAATTGAAGGAAATAATTTGGAGAACAGTTCAAACATTAGGTAAAGAACTATTATGTAAAAAATTATTACCACTGTATTTCACTATCACAAATACCTAAACTTGAACTCAGCCTCACTGTCATAGATAAACTTTTCAGGTCTGTCAGTCAAGGTTCAATCAGAGAAACAGGAGATATATATGCTACAATATATCTATATAATATGTATATGTGTGTATTTATATATATTATACAGTGTATATGTTATATATTATAGTATATATAATACATTCATATACATGTATGATATATATATATATTATATAATTAACTTTCTTTATTATCAGTAGTTATGTTCTATAAAGTCGCTGAGAATGCTGAATTAGTGAATCCTGGGGAAATACAAGATTAGGTTCCTACAAGCTTCTGGCCACAACATTTTTATTAACCAATGTATAACCTTGCTTTATGAATGTTTCTATTTAAAGACACCTTATTTAATAAATATTGTTGAGTTCTCTAACGTTGAACTCACAGCCATCAACACTGTAACTCGTACCTGAATGCAGCTTCTCTAACACATTAATTTTCTCCATAAGACACATCACGGTCTTCTTAGGAACACTAGGGCTTAGTGGTTAGAAACACTAGACAATACTTCAGTGCTATCCTTGGAGGCCATTTCAGCCAGTGAAATTGCCAAAAAAAAAAAAAAAACACAAAAATGTGAAAAACATGGCACTAAATAGTCTGTGGAAAGGACACTGAAACAAGAGAACTGAAACCAGAAAGTTAAGCATGGCCTTATTTGACCTTAGTTAGGAATGCAAGCTAGGCAACTCACATTTTTCACCACTCTGCACATGAGCATCAATTTGGGGGTTTTAAATAAATTTTAGTAAGTAGGTGAATTCACAAATGTGGAATCCACAAATAATGAGGATTGACTATATATAGTAAAGGATTTGTTAAAAGGATTTGACCTGGGATTTGACCAGAGCTGGTTAAGCTCTGTAAGAATGTCGACTTTGCATCCATGCTGGAGCTTGAGACCACAGAGCAGCCCTTTATGAAAGGGAGATGGATGTAAAGTGATGGAGAGCAAGAATGAGACCCCCATAAGCATGAACTGGAGCCCATGAGGATGGACATAAGCTCATGTTAGTTCTTTTTGCTTCTGTCCTTGGTGGTGTGGGTGTCCTATAGAAAGCAGTGTCCTATCCACACACACACACACACACACACACACACACCTGGCCCAGGCATCAGGGATGCTGAAGGGGAATTCAGTGAGGGTGGAACAGGTGCACTTCTGGCCACTCATGCCGGTGCTTGAGCTAGCAGATGAACTACAACACACATGAGCTAGAAATGGCTGCCGCTTGACTTCAGCCCTCCAAACGTCCCACAGAAATTTCCTTTCTGTAGCATCCTAACCAGAAACACACAATTTGAAACATAGTTCTGGGAAACATAGTTCAGTGTAGCTAAACTGACACATTACAGAACCTCCACATTCACCCCTTGTCACCTTGGCAGTTATCCACATCTTCTTAAACCAAACTTAATCTGCAAATAATTGTAGACATTAACAAAGTCACGCTTGCACCTGATGTGATACAATTATCCCATGTACGAACGAAAACACACAACCCCTTTCCTCAGGAAAGGATACAAAGTTCTTTTATTGTCTTTGGCTGATGTCCACTCTTCTTACCTTTTGTATCCTGTAATTTAAATACTGAGAGATAAAGCTAATTATGCCGACACATCTTACATGAAATGATAAAGAAATAAGAGAGGAAAACAAAAATGTTTAATATGTGTGTTCAAATCAAAATAAGAAAGAAATACCCATAGTTATTACATTCCTCATTTTTGTAACTGGCCCTGTAGCTATAGCTGGTATTTAAAACTACCTTCATTCCACGTTCCCTTTGTTCTTAACAAGCACCTCAACTGGTCATGGTTCCTTGCCTGATCGGCTGACCCATACCTTCATTGGAAACAGCCGGGCCATTAGGTATCCTGCCTGAATTAGATGGTTGTAGATTTCTGTTGACATTCATCACAGGAAATACTAACGGGTGTCCTAGATGGTTTGCTGTATTGCAGACACACTCCTCTTTATCCCCATTGTGTAGTAGCAACTTGGTTATCCCTTAGTAATCAGGATCAATCACCCCAGCCAATATAGTAATACTCTTCCATTCCTTGTTAATTCAGTGGTGTAAGGAGCCCATAGTGGCAAGATGACAGTCTCAGCTTCCAGTTCAATGGAATCATTGTTGTGTCACTCAATAGAAGCATTCCTCTCTGTGGAACTAAGACCTTTAGATCAGCAGAGCCTGAAATCATAGAAATGAGGAGACACAGTTTTGTTAGTAGGTCACTGAGGGTAATAACAAGAGAAACCAGTCCCATTTCCATCCCTTCATTCCCAGATCTGGGAGAATTATCACATGAATTAAATGCTGATTTAGGGTATGTACCACACCCTAGAATACCAATGTATTCTCAGCCCCACGAGGTGTTGTCACCTAACAGGCACTGTAACCTAGTCACCATTTTATGAAGCCTGCTGCTTAAGGGATAACAGGGAATATGGTAAGACCAGTGAATGTGGGTCTTTCTTGTCCTCTGACTTGGCTAAGGCTCTTTCTTGTCCTCTGACTTGGATCTCTCTGATGGAAGCCAACTGCTGTATTGTGAGTAGCTCTGTGCAGAGGCCCATGTGGAAAAGAATTGGTGGCTCTGGCCAGGAGTCAGTGAGTACCTGAGGCCTGCCCTCAGCCAGGTGTGTGACCTTGGAAAAGGATTCTCTCACAGATCAGCCTTGAGATACAGCCAACTCTGATTATGGTGAGACCCTATGCCAGCTACTCAGCTAAGCCACACTCAGATTCCTAACCCACAGAAGCTGTGTGTGCTCAATGTGTATCGTTTTAGGCTGCCCAGTTTTGGGGTTAATTCTTCTTCAGGAGTAAGTAATTTATACAACAGATTTAAACTGCACCTCTGGTGACCGCTCAAGCCTATGTAGAAACCACCAGAAGCTTTTTGGGGGCTGAAGCCTTATAAGGCTCATCCTGCTCTGATATCGTAGGATTTAAGAGCAGCTTTCTAAAAAGGCAGTAAAAAGTTCATTGAAGATAATTCACTCCTAGCCTTGTTCCCTGACTGCCTCATTAGACTTTGCTGTACAATGTATCAGAGAAAAGATGTTAAGTTTCTTCTTTATCACATTTGCACACTATATCATTTGATCACTAAGTCTTCTCACTATGTAGCTCTTATTTTTCTTAGGACAGAATTTGCTGCTCCCTGTAACTTTTCTATTCCCTTTGGGTTTTTATTCCAAAAAATTTGGCTTAAATCAGAAGGAGATTTCATGTTCACTCCCCAGCATATATCTATCTATTCCTCAAATGTTTTTCTATCACTTATTATATTCCAGGTACTATTCTGGAAGTTGGGGGCATAGCAGTAAACAATAGCTTATCATGACTATCTTTTCTCCCCCCAAAATAAAAAAAAAAA